TCACAAAGTCAGGGCTTGGAAACAGAGGTCAGAGCTTAGCCTCCGTGGGGGTCCCCCCTTGCCATTATCTTTCCCTAACCCAGGTAGGGGGGACTACAGCTTCCATCATCCACGGCCCTAATGGGCCATGACGCTGGGAAAGATGGCGTTGGCATCCAACATACCCCAAAGCGGGGGGAGGCTCTGAGCTCAGCTGAACCTGGTTTTCAACTGTTTCTTTAAACACCAAAGTGAATTTCCTACCGATTTTAATAAGAGGAGAGCCGTTTTTGTCTGCGGTGGCAAAAAAATCAGGAGCCTGGGAGCTCCTTTTCCAGCTAGAAGATTTAATTGGATTTAAACGTGGGATTTCAGTTGGGGTGAGGCTACTGTACGACCTTCCTGTGTCAGTCTAGCCCCCCTGTGCATCCGACAAAGGGGGTGCAGCTCACGAAAGCTTCTGCCTTTTGGGAGAATTTGTTAGTCGGAAAAGGTGCCTCCAGGCTCCCTCTGATTTTCTGCTGATTTGAAGTGGCTTATACTTTTATTTTAATTGATGTAACACCAAGAAGGACATGGAAAGGAGTTAAGAGAATGACCAGTTTTTTTAACAATCCCAACAGCTCGCAGCTCGCAAGCAATACCATTCAACACAAGTTTCCTTGCTCCCTTTTTCTAGAGTTGTATCTTGCCAAGTTTTACCCAGTCCGCCTTCAGGGACAATTTCCAACACACACACACACACACACTTCCCTAGCATGATGGCCAGGGAATTCTGGGAGTTGAAGTCCACACATCTTAAAGTTGCCAAGGTTGAGAAACACCGCTCTAGACACCATTCAACACAAGTTTCCTTGCTCCCTTTTTCTAGAGTTGTATCTTGCCAAGTTTTACCCAGTCCGCCTTCAGGGACAATTTCCAACACACACACACACACACACTTCCCTAGCATGATGGCCAGGGAATTCTGGGAGTTGAAGTCCACACATCTTAAAGTTGCCAAGGTTGAGAAACACCGCTCTAGACATGCTGGACTACAACTGCCATCCTCCCCAGCCAAGCGTGAAAAAGGGATTCACTTCTTTTGCTGTTTATTGATCTGTTAGATTTACAACCTGCCTTTCAATCAAGACCCTAAATTGGTAGACATTCAAGCTGGTAAGGCCTTGAAGCTTGTCCCTAGAAATTTATTTATTTATTTACTTATTTAGATTTATATGGCCACCCCTTTCACCAGTGCAACTGGGCAGCTAACAAGAATTAAAATATAATATAAATAGAATGTATATTTAAAAAAAAAATTAAACTACCATACCCAACTCATAGACTGATAAGAGGGTTCAGCAGGTCCAGACCATCATCTGCACCTGCTGTGTATCCATTCTTTTGTGCTCTCTTTTTCGGAAAGGGGCATCCAGGGGCACCTGCATGGGTGATCAAAAAAAATCAAGGGGACCATCACGACCGTCTCATGGAAACCTCCAATAAAAAATAGGGCTTCCATTGTACAGTCACTACTGCCGTCTTGACTTTTTTGACCCCCCCCCCATGAATGCTTCTGGATGCATCTATTCTGCATTGAAAGGGGGGACTTCTGCCTGGCACCTCTGAGTAGTGGAGAACGGCCTTGAATGAGTCAAGGCTTTGTCGATGGGGCATTCATCAGCAGGAACGCGAGGATGACTTCACACGATTACCAGGCTGGTCTGGCTCTGGGGCGTGCCTGAGTCATCCAGGGCTGGAAAGGGGAGCCGGCAGGCCGGATCTTGGAGGATGTGAATGGAAATAGGCTAAAGGGCACAATTTGGTCTCGGAAGGGTCAACTGGCAGAGGCCCCCTTGAGTGAGGGGCAACTCCTATCTTGAATACCGGCTCGCATTTCAAGCATTTCTACCCCGCCTTTAATCGAAAAGCGTTGATGATAAAGAGCTGCTAACAGCCTGACATCAAAGCCTAAAGCCCCAGTCTCTCAGGGCACAGCTTTTTAAGCCAATCATGGCAACAGGACAGCAATAAAACTTGTTTTATAGTTTTATACTATAATAAAACGTCGTAACTTAGAGATGTCTAGAACGTTGCAGGGTAAGAGTGGAATATACTTGGCCACTAAGAATTAGCACAGGAGGGGCCACCAAAGCCTTTCAGGGAAAAAAGCCAAGGGGCCATTTCTGTAAAATAGGTGAAGCAAAAGCCCTTCCTCAAATTATCCATTTCTCTTCCGGCAGTTTCTGATTCGTCTCCCCCCGTTTCTTTCTCAGCCAAAAGCACTTTCCATGTCTTCCTCGTGCCTCTCCGTCCAGCTCTGCCACCCCAAATAAAACCCAGGAACTGGTGCTCCTAAAATACATCCCCCCACTGCCCCCGCCAGCTCTTTCCAGGGGCCCAGCCCCTTTCTGCTCCTCAAAGCCCTGCTTGTCTGTCTCCTTTGCAGCTGCAGAGGGTGGGGGGGTTGCCCAGCAGGGCACTGGTCTATAAATAGTGCCGTAAAAATGCCTGAATGCCCATTGCAGAGCCTTGCTTTCCCCTGGTGCCCTGTGAAGCTGGCCAAGGTTGGCTGCCTCCCAACCCACCAGGGCAATGTTTCTCAGCCTTGGCAACTTGAAGGTGCGTGGACTTCCACTCCCAGAATTCCCCAGCCAGCAAGTTTGAAAAACACTGCTCTGAAGGGAGGCACCCTGTTTGACAAAGGCACTGTAGAGATGGCCTTGGAAAAGGAAGGTGACAGCTGGCTGGGGAATTCTGGGGGCTGAAGTCCGCCATCTTCAAGTTGCTGAGGTTGAGAAACACTGAATTTAAGCCCAGGAAGAGAATATTAGAAAGAGACGGGCTCTGTCTTAACTTCCTTTGGTATAAGAGGGAGGGAAGGGAAAATGCAGCTAGGCCTTCAAGATTCTGTTATTACAGACTAGATTAATCATACAGGCTTCCAGTATTTTTGCTGTGTCTGTTTCTAGATCTGGCCTACCTCGAAGGGCTGGCCAGCACCCAGCCAGATTGAACCCTCAGGGTGCCTTCCAGGAGTTTGGCTCCGGGATCAACGTTGCCGTCGTAGCCGCCATCCACAGCAAAGAGGGGAGGGGAGGCAGCTTCTCTTCCACCCCCCTCCAGGACTCCCCCAAAGACAGCTGTCAATCATGGGGATCAGTGACACCGTCTGCAAAGGGGGGGGGATAATGAGCCAGGGGTCAGAGGTCACCCTCCAGATGGTTGCACGTGTGGCACACAAAAGGGATTGTGTGATGTGTGTGTGTGTGGAGTGGCTCAAAGTGCAGGCGGCTCTCCTTAAGGCATGTTAAGAAATGCCCCTGCCGGGCCAGCTTTTTTAAAATCCCAGGTGGAGCAGGACATCCAGCAGCTGCGAGATAAAAAGGGTTGCAAACGTTCGCCTTAAATAGGACGGGGAAGTTGGGGATCTGAAATGGCCTCAAGCGGAGTCCCTGACTCGGTGCTCTGAGAATCGAGGGCCACAAACTTCCACCGGCAAGTTAATCAAGTGAAGCTTCAGGCAATTTTAATTGGCAGGGGCTACATTCTGGTTGGGGGAGTTAATAGAAGCCTCCTCGCTTATCTGGAAACCAGAGACAGGGAGAGGCGTTCTCTTATAAAGACTGGCGTGCTGAGCGTTATTAAAAGTCTTCCTTTCCGGCTTCCCTCGGGGGAGCCTGGCGTGATGCGCAGACAGATTTCAGGTTCGTTTATGAATTGGCAAAGGGAAGTAAGTGACTAACTAAGTCCTTGAACTGTTTCACAGCTCCCTTAAGTGTGCAGATGGAGCACTTCATCTTGACTTCGTTAACCATCAGTGCAACTGGGGTCAGCAACGTAGTGCCCACCGGCTTCAATGGGCCCGGGGGAGAGGAGGGTTCTTGCATGGCCTCACTTTGCAAAGCCCACCACGCTGGCTGAGGACAGGGGCTTTTGGGGGGAGGGGGATCTGAGCTCAGAAAGGCGGCCTAGGAGGAACCCCGATGCCATTTCCCTTCTCCGCGGGTTTCCACCTCTCTGGCTGCACTGGTTCCCTCAGCCTCCCTGAGCTTTTGCTCCCGGTCCTGCGTTCCAGCATCCTGCCAGAAACTTTGGGAAAGAGGGATGTGCTCCAGGGCCTGGTTGCCATGGCACTTACCTAGCACCCAGTTGCCATGGTGATGGTTGGCCAGGAAGAGACGGACAGGTTCAGGCTAAGTTTAGACGTGGGTTAAGTCCTTGGATCCATCTGCCAACAGAGGGGGCGGATTCTCTGCCGCCAGAGATGCTGAGAAAAGTCGCCGCTTTGGCCAACTGTCACTCCTGGCTTGCCAGAACGGATTTATGGCACATGGCGAGGACGCAAGGGCTGTTGTGGTTGAGAACCTCCACGGCCCATAGCAGTGATCCCTCCAAACGGTCGGCCGCCACCAGAATCAGAGCCTGTACATTCTCCCTCAGGAGAAGGACGATGCGCCTTCTGGCCCTTGTTCGGTGTCTCGTTCTGCCGGTGTTACCACTGGAAGGGGCCTTCTTGCCGTTAATGCTAAGTTTAAAACTTGGTCTCCTGGCATCTCACAGGTATCATTAACAAGCATTGAACAGGGGTTCCCCAGCTGGGAACCCGCTATGCTCCCTGGCAGCACCGTTCTTGGGGCGGTGGGGTCAAAAGTGCCCCCCATCACACAATAGAAACTCCGCCCCCTTTTATGTGCCTGAAAGAGGTGGGGCTTCCACGGAATGCCATCTGTGCTGGCTGGGGGATTCTGGGAGTGGAAGGGCATGCATCTTCAAGTTGCTAAGGCTGAGAAGTCCTGGTTTAGACATACAAGTTGCGCTAATACAATAGGTCCCGTAAGCCATGATTTCTGGCTTAGTAAGCTGGGCAGCAAAGCATGCCTTTTCAATCCACCATGGTTAAGCAAACCATAGTTCGTGTTATTGACTCAGCTGGGTTACTCTGCTGGACAGCTTGCCCGTTTTTGCAAACCGGTCTTTTCCTACGTTTGCAGGATCAAGCGAGAGTTGCAAGTGAAGGTGGCCGACTGCATCCCGCTCAGCCTGAACAGCCGGAAGCGGCTGGTTACGGTGGCGACAGGCAGCAACGTGACCGTGCCGGACTTTGCAAAGAGCCGTGATGGTTTTGTGCTGTACTGGCCGAGGAGTTGAACCAGGAGAAAGATGGCGCCGAGGTCTGGCTCCTGGAGAGGAGCAGAAACGGACCACGAGTCATGAGATCTTGCGCCCCTTCTGCACCGCGTCTCTCTATTTTATTGTGGCATTTTGGGGGGGGGAGAGGGGAACTGTGTTCATTTTTATCCTGACGTTCTTCCTTCAGTCTCAGCGACAGAAAAATGCCAAGCGGGGGTTCCTTATTAGACATTGTGGCTTAAACTCCTGCCATGCGCATAACCTGATTATGGAATTGACCCAGAATCCCTAACCATGGCCAGAACCATGGCTTTAATTCTAACCACAGTTAAGAAGAACCAAGCAAGACCAACACAGCCACGCAACCTGTAATTTGTTTGATGGAATAGGCTGCGTGAGCTCAGAGCTGGGTGCCTCCCTGGCACAACACAGCCACGGGGAGCATCAGTAAGGGGCCGCAACAGCACCAGTGAAGCGTTGGATCTTCCCCAGCACACCGTGCCTCTGACCACCGGTCCAGGCATCTCTCCTGCAGAGGCCCAAACCACCCCTTTTCTCCGCTGCTGACAAAGGAAGGGTGTTCAGCCAGGAGCCCTCCTGAGCATCCCGTTGCAGTGGCCCCATAAGAGGCCCCATTCCCCACCCCACCCCTTTTGCTCTTCCACTGGGGAAAGAGGGACCAGATCACTGTCTTATTCTGATGCCCGTCCAGGGATCCGGCAACAGATGACGGGGAAGGAAAAGGCGGGGAGAGGGTGTTTATACGTGCATGAATGGTTGGAAGAGAAGGAGAGAAAGTGGTGGTCATCTGAAGGAGTCTGTCTCATGGCTGGTTCCCTGCCAGAGCTCGCTGGCACTCCGGTGTCTTTGGAGGCCGAAGCATGAATGTAATATATTCTTTCCTTATCAATGGGTGACTCGAGCAGACATAATCACAGCAACGAACAGGTACCCTAGCCCAGTGGCTCCTCTCCAGCAGGTTCTGCCTCCAATGGCGACAGACTCTGCTGGAGCAACTCTGCGAACACCCCTACAGGGTGGAATAAGGGAGGCGACCCTCCAGAAACGGTCCCTTGAATCTTCCACTTTAATCCAAGATGCCCTTAAAACTCCACGTCTTAATGCCTAAGGCCAGGATCACTTCTCTGGCCAGATCCCCCCCTCCCCCATGAGTTAGCAGGTCTGAGACTCAAACTGTCCCCTGAACAAGCAGAGACTTTCAGGATCTTTCCAGTTACGATCCAGACAAAGGAAACCCCAAAGGGAAGGCTGGAAACTGGATCATTTCAAAGCCTCCACACCCTGGTGTTTTGGTTTCATCTTCTCTCGGGGCCGCCAGATCTGGGCTGCAAAAATCTGTGCCACCACCAGAAGTCACCAACAAATTAGAGTTTCTATCTGCCGCCATCCAGTGGTCATTTGTAATATTGCAGCTGTGTCTTGGAAGTTCCCAATATACTGTAGAAGCCTTGCATATCCGGAGATGAGGCTATAGGGCTGGAGCATCCCACAGGAGACACCATCATGATAGGGACGGAGGACATGATAAGCGTTTCTTCTTATCAAAGAGCAACCAGCCAGGGACAGAGTCCATCAGGAGTCAGCCCAGATGGCAATGGAAGGCCGCACCAAAGAAGGTCCAAGAGAAAGAGCCGGTCGGGGTCCAAACCAGATCTGGGTGAGCCCAGCAGTCGGTCATAGAGGACGAGACAAGGCTTCTGGAGTTAGATCCAGCAGCACACAAAGGTAAAAGCATTCCCAGCACCGGGTCATCTGCAACTGACTGGTTTTATCTCCCAGCCAAGGGCTCCGCATGAAGACTCTGTCTTAAAACAACTGGATTGCGTAGGCTCCGTTAACATGGTGGTCACAGCCAAGTGGGGTATTTCTGCCAAGCAACGTTGCCCCGCCGTCTCATCCTTGTGGTCCCCCAGCTCTTGACTGCAGCCAGACTTGGAGCTTTCTGGGGAAATGAAAAGGAATTTAGAGCTGCCTTGGGGGAGGAAGAAAGGAAGGAGTTATGGAGAAGCGATTACCCAGTCCAGAGATGGAAGCTCAAAATAACCCCGTCTTGATTTTATTTAGCATAGGAGAGGGCAGAGAGAAACTTGGACAGGCTTTCGAGATTCTGTTATTACACCCCAAAACAATAAAGTTTTCCTGGAATCTCTGCAGTGTCTGTTTCTTGACTTGGCCAGTCTTGAAGGGCTGGCAGGAATTCCCATTGGGGTTGCAGGGATCCTGGAGGCATAGCCAATTCTTCCCTTCTTGTTCTTCTCCCTGACCCTGGACCCTGGAACCCTCTGGTCCAAGACCACCTCCTCCTCCTCCTCCTCCTCCTCCTCCTCCAAGGGTTAGGGTGGAAGGAATCTGCCATGGTGGCCAGGATGGCTTGTAACCCGGGGACTACAGGCCCCCTCCAGGAAGAGGCTGTCACTGAGGGTGTACAACTCGGTGTGTTTGGATCTCTGAGTGAAATTCAGGCCCAGATGCATGGTGTAGCTACACAAGAGCAATTTGCTTCTTGCTGTTGGCAAGTACAATAGTGCCTTTTCCATGTTCCCCTGGCCAGGTGGCTGCAACCTATCAGTCAGAAAATGCCAAAAGGAGCCCCAGAAAGGGGAGTCGCCCACCCTCCTGGCCACAACCGTGCCATCTGAACTTACTCCAAGCCCAGGAGAGCTGCTGACTGGTACAGAATACCTAGATTAGTCTGAGATGGCATTGCAAACGCGGGCTGGCAAGAGAGCCCTGGTGGTCCACTGTGGCACTGTCTTCTTCCTCCCTTGGATCTGGCTCAAGCTCCTTTTCCTAGCCAGCATTACCACACCACAGGGATCATAGATTCATAGAATGCAGGTGCTGGGAATCTTCTGCCCCAAGCCCATGCCCAGGGCAGGATTCTAGAAGATACCTCTCTAAGTTGAGCTCTGTGAATGACTGTCTACAATCTCCCTAACACTATCGCTCATCACTTGAAGCAGTCCTTGATAGAGGGGTCAACGGGGTGGACACCTCCTGTGCTCCGTTTTGTCTGATCTAGTGAACAGAGTGGATATTATGGTCCCCCAAAGCTTCAGCCAAGCTCCAAGACTCCATCTATGCCACCCAGAGGTCATTGGGGCGGTGTGGGGGCTTCATGCAATGACCTCATGCAACCAGCAATGGTAGGTGAGAGCATCAGGGAGGCTGGACACTTCTCTTGGCTTAGAGTTCAAACTCCAATGCTGGGGGATGCCCAAAGCCTATCTATTTAATGTATTCCTTATTAGACAAGCCTGTCAGGATGAGGGGTTGATCGATTCAGATTCAGAGGACCTGGTTGTCTTGGAAAGCAAGAGACTTCAGGGGAGGTTCTGAAGCAGAGCTGGTGCGCCTTCTGTGGGGCTTGCATTAACTGGATTCCTGCGCTGAGCAAGGAGCTGAACTCAGGGATCTCCAAGGCCCTTCCAATTTTATGGTTTTATGATTAAAATTAGCCTCCAGTTAACTGATGGGGCTGACAACAGCAGTTTGCCCGTGCTAAGGGCTGGATAGATATCTGAGCCAGCACAAAGCCACCTCTGAAGCTTGGAAGGTGGGTGAGAACCATTGCTCTCTTCCTCCAGCGCAGGGTTTCTCAACCTTGGCCACTTGAAGATGTGTGGACTTCAACTCCCAGAATTCTATAGCTGGCTGGGGAATTCTGGGAGTTGAAG